CGCGCCTGTCCCGCCCTTTGCCCAGCGGGGCACCCAGCCCTGCAGCCAGTGTCCTGCCCCTCGCGCTGCCCATCCCCCCCCCAGGCTTGGGAAACAGCTACAGCGATCGCAAAGGCGACCTAAGGGGGGCTTAATTCCTACACTTTGCTAATAGATAACTTGCTGCAGAAGTGACATTTTCATTTGTGTGGGAAAGAAATGTCTTTAGTATTTAAGATTCCGTATCTTTTCTTGGCCAAAAATATCAACAGCTTCTATTCCCTCTAATGGCTGGTACTAAGGTATTTTGGACAGGTGCTTTTGCTTTTTGTTTGTTTGCTTGTTTTGGTGGTCTGTCTTGAGATGTGTATATTTAGCGTTAATACAGTATTGTAGTATTTTAGATCATTAAGGGACACGATATCTTCCTGTAAAATAGTAAGCTTTGTATAAGCCCTTTACAGACTGGCATGATCAGGTTTTGGCCAAGGGGTAACAGCACTAGCAACATGTTTGTGAAGTGGTGCATCCTAAGTGTCTGATGGCAGTCGCACCTTTCCCAGTGACATTTGTTAAAAGTGTAGTGGGGAAATTTAAAAGTATTAGTGTGCTTAGGCAGGAATATAAAATGCACAGACAAGAAGGACGGAACCCTGGAAAGTGACTTAGTTGCGGGTTGAGGGTGATAGGTGTTGGACAGCACTGGTCTTCACCTCTTAACATAGGGTGCCTGCAGACTGCTGGCTCCTCCATCCTCAGGTTTCAGATGTGCTGCTCTTACTTGGTATTGGCGTGAGTGGTATACAATGTATTTTTCAGCCTCCTCGGAGTCAAAGCCAAGAAAAGGACACTAAAAAGAAAAAAATGAAAGAAAATGGGCTTGACAGTGGGGTAAGTCATTGCTATGGAAATAATATAAAATACCATCTGTAATTTTAAATATGCATACAGAGAAGATCTTTGATAACACAATTATTATTTACTTATTACCTGGGACACAGCATATTTAAAACCTTGCAAGCCTTAGATATACCTTAACTTAGACAAAAGTTAGCCACACAGCTCTTAAAGTGTCTGGGGTCCATTTAGTTGAGGCAGCAAGGCTCTTCTTTTCTATTAAGAAAACGAACTCCTCTGTGTTTTAAGTATAAACCATTGAAACAACCAGAAAGTATTATTTGAGCATCGATATTAGGTAGGAACAAGGGAGTAGTATGTGGCCTCAAAGGGATAGGTGTGGCTCTTGTTGAGGAGTTCAGATAAATGCAGGAAAAACAAGGACAGAATGAAGTAAGCTGGTGTGGAGGACCTTTGTGTCTGCAGGGTCCACATTCACCGATTTAACCAGCTGTGGACTGAAAATGGGAAAACATTGCTTCTGTAATGAACATGTGCAGCCCTTTTGGGTTGTTATTCCCTAAATAACACAATATTACAACTATTTATGTGGTATTTAGAGCGTAGTATTTTAAGTAATCTGGTGATAATAAAGTATAAAGATTGCATAAATTAATTAGCAAATACGATGCCATTTTATTTATGGGATTTGACCATCCTCAGATTTTGGTGTCCACAGTCAGTAATCAAGTTCCTATGGATAACGACTGATACTGTATATAAATAAATGCTGTATTGTATGATTCTTCATGCACATGCTGGAAACAGGAGAGAAGGGTGATGCCCCTGGTGGTGGGAGTCAGAGGAGGTCAGCTTTGAGCTCAGTCCAGAGAGCTAGGAAGGAATTAGGTAAGTGGAGAGGAGTCTTCAGGAGAAAATAGAGTCTCCAAGGTCATGGCCTCATAGCCCACCTAGACAACACACCCAGAAGTATGTTTTACTAATCTCTTTGCAGCTCCCAAGCCAACCAAATGGATAATGAAGATTAACTAAAAAAATAAAATAATAATAATAAACCAGGGCCAGGGATTTAGCTCAGTAGTGCTGCTGCCTGACTTGCAAGCACAAGGTCCTGAGTTCGGCCCCCAGTACCAATAATTAATACATTAATTAATTAAATAAAATAAAAAGATTAACTATCACCTTCATCGATGTATGTATGCGAGAAGGCATTGAGGGGTGGAACTGATTTAGAGCTGAGTAGCTGGCGGTAAAGTGGGCTATGTGTGTGAACCTCATTGTATTCTAATGATTTTCAGGTGAAACAAGCAAATTTCATAAAGGAAAGATTGAAACTATTTGAAACATTGAAGAAAGATCATCAACACTTGCTTTCGATTTATGAAAAAAAGGAGAATACAAGCAAAGTGATCACAGTGAGAATGGCTGATGGAAAAACACTGGAAGGAGAAGTTTGGAAAACAACACCTTACCAAGTGGCTGCTGAAATTAGGTAAAACATACAAACACTACCACACGCGCGTGTGCACACACACACACACACACACACACACACTTATATACAGTTTGGATACAGCAGTAGTACGTAAGTAGTAGAGCCTGGTAGAATGTTTTCTTAGCCAAAATATTTTTTTCTTGTTCAGCTGAATAACTTAAATGTAATGAGTTTTTCCCTCTGTTTTCTAAAAAAAAAAAAAAGTCATTTAAATAATGGAATATCAGAATACAATATCTTCCACATTAAAAAGTTCAAAGTTTAAAGTTCTAGTAAAAATACATAATGGGTAAAAACAAACAACAAAACCAAACCAAACACATAATGGGAAAAAAGCAGTACTCCTTTACAGGCCACATTACCAGGCTGACTTTATTCATTGCGTCAGTCAGCTTTTATTGCTGAGACGTAAAGCCTGACGCCTGCAATTTAGAGGAGGCGGGGTTTATTTGGCTCATGGTTTCAGAGGTTTTGGTCCATGGCCTGCTGGCTCCAAGGCAGAAACATCATGGCGGAAGGGTGTGGTGAAGCAAAGCTGCTTAGTTCATGGTGGCCAGGAAGCAGAGCAGGGTGCAGCACTAGAGATGAAGGAGGCCAGGGACCAGATAGAGTCTCCAAGGTCAAGTCCACCTGGACACACCCAGAAGTATGCGTTACTAATCTCTGCAGCTCCCTGGACAACCAGTTTGATAATTAAGCTTAACAATCACATTCATCAATCAGGTATTTTTCATGAATTTTTATCGGTTTTTAATTATACATCAAAGATAAAAGTGTCACAGCTATTATCAATCCCAGAATAGTACTTTGACTTTTCTGGAAATTAGAAACACTTGTGAAGTCACAGTGTTTTCATTAATGTACATTTCTGTCATTAAATACAGTGACTCACATGGAAGCCCTAGCTCAGAACTCCATGTAAATAACTTAAAAAGCAGAGTATCTTAGCAGTTGAGGTTCTCAGGTTTCTTTGAAAAATATGCCCTGTATTTCTGTTTCATCCAGTGATACCATGTACTCTAAAGGTCTTCCCAACCTGTTTCCATGTTTTCTAGGAGGGATAATGTGGGAGGATAAAATGACTTTTGAAGTAGACATAAGTTTACATCTTCTCTCAGGGAGGCAGGCTGCCTGACAAGTGTGCTCACAAAGTATGGTTCTTAAAGATCAGTGGTTCTCTGAGTGTGCTTCCCAGGACCCCTGGAGAACCTGTTTAAAAAGCAAATTCTTGGACTCCATCTCAAACCTCTTGATTCAGTCAGCTATCTTCTTGTGAGCCCTCCAGGGGCTTCTGATGCAAGCTAAATTTTAAGAGCCACTGAATTAGGCCAAACTACTTCAGCAGAGATCCCTAAAGACAGTAGCTTGGATACGACAGACATTGGATTATCTCACACAATTGTCTAGAAGTGGCCAGTCGGGGCTGGTGGACATCTCTTGTCCATGCAGTTGTTTATGGACCCACCTTCTATCTTGGTGATCTGCCATCCCCTAGGTAGGACTTGTTCATATGTAAGAATGGAAGCCATTTTCCATCCATGGACCTGTCTGCAGGCGGGAAAGGAAAGCTGAAGAACAGTGATGTTTTGAGGTTGAGTTGTCAGAGTAGCATACTTCAGTTTCTACCTCTGTCCTCTTAGCTTACATTTAGTCGCACATCATACCTAGCTATAAGGGAGAATGGATATATCACTTCTACAGGCCAACATATGTCCTGCTGAAGCGTTCTTAAAAGTGGACAATGGGCAACCTGTCCTAATCCGCCCCTCCAACACCAGCTATCTGTGATTGCTATTTTTTTTAATATCTGACACTTACCCCTCCCAAGTGAGACAGTGTCTGGCACCAAACATTGCTCAAAGCTGGAGATTTCCAAGTGATGTGCAGAACACCCCAGGCCCGATCCCAACAACAGATAATCTCAGACAAGTCTGCTCGCATCACAGTGTATACAGCAGGTGCAAGATGATCACAATTAAAGTGTCTATTTGGGGAAGAGGAGAAACATGGTAGGCTGTGGTATACAGAAAGCACTGGATTCTACTCACAGAAATTGTGACGCTAACAGTTTGTGCTTGATTCAGTTCATCTGGTCACCTTATAGTCTCTGAAAGCAGCTTTCATGTTCATAGACAGCCCTCTCCCTGAGTTTGTCTTTTGGAAGCTCTAAATGTTTCCCACACCTGAAGTGTAGGAAGGTTTGTCCTCTTGAGGGCTGTACAGTATGCACAGCTCAATTCTTAGAGGTGTACTCCTGGAGGCTCCAGGTCCTTCTAAAGGTCAGATGGTCACAGCTATTTGTAGGAGGGCCTTGTGGTTTGATTGGCAATGTGATTCCCTCAGTTAATTGTAGTGGGCGGTGGTCTGTCAGTTGCTAATCAGTTCCACCTGGAAGTAATCCCCTGAACCCCTGTAGACACAGACCCCTCCCCTTTTGTTGCATGGCTCATTCCTTGTTCCCATGGACTGAGAACATATGAAACAGTGACTTGTGGGAGGGCAGCACCCTTCCTCTAATTCTTGCAGTTCTCTGGCCCCACTGTGTGTCCTTACAAATGGCCTTTGAGAAGGGCTGTCAGTGCCCAGCCCTCCTGCAGTGTGGAACGGAAGAGTGTCTTTCCAATAATGTACAGCTCCGTAGCTGGACCCTCATCAGCTTGAATTACAGACCCAGTGGGAGGAAACCTTCCTTGGCAGAGTCAGTCCGTCCCTCTCTGCTTGCGCCTGAGATCATTTGCAGCCGGGCTTACCCTGTTCTGGTGTTATCTTACTGAAAGCTGTGGGATTAGCCAGTGTACACCAGCAGCCTACCTTTCTGTATCTGCTTCCTCACGAGCTGCTGTAACACATGGTTTGTCGGCAAGTTTTTATAAAATATTTTGTAATGCCATTAAAAGGGTATTGGCTATCTGGCTATCTACATCTTAAGTGTTATTTTTTTTGCAACCTACTGTCCCTCCACTAAGCCAGTGCCACGTATTTTATTACTTGCAGGTTTTTATTGCTGTATTAGTTAAGGTATAAACTTAGATGCCGCAGCCAAGACACCACAAAAAAACTCAGTGGCTTAACTATTGTCAGCATCTGTTTCTCATAAAGCAGTCTGGAGGTGAGTGGTCCAGGTTAGCAGGGCGGCACTTCTGCACCTGGTCATTTGGGGCCCTAAATCCCTTCCATGTGGTGACTGGGTCTCTTCAGGGTTGCCTCTGTCTCTACAGTCCAGGAGTAACAGCACGTATGTGTTGTGCTCCACAGAAGATGGAGAGAGTGGAGAAGTGGCCTCCAGTGTCTCAAGGCTGAGGCATGGAGTCACTGTATTCCCTTCTGCTTATGTTCCTTGAGGCCTGTCCTGGTGACATGGCCACATCTAGCTGTGAGGAAGGCTCAGAAACTAATAGAGGAAGGCAAGAATGCATTCGAGGGACACTTACCAGTCATGACCAGCAAAATGAAAATTATACTACTGCAGTAATAATATCTAGCATTATGTTCTTAACATATATAATCATATTTAATCCTCATATACAAGTGTAAGGAGGATCTTATAATCCCCATTTTATAAATGAGAATACTGAGGCTTAGAGAAGCTGAGCAATTTGTCCAGTGTTTAAGTCTAGGCGTTATGCCAGAGTATAACCTCTTAGCCACCATGCTGTCCCACTGCTCAGGTTAATCACAGAAATGCCAATTAAAGCATTCCATTGTAGAGAGGGTCTAGTTTCATAGCACTTACAACTGAGAGCAGAGACAGGGTACTTCTGCACCTTAGCTACTAAGAGAATTTGGCAAAATAATTCTAATATAGAACATTAAAAATTCATGTCCCTTGATGCAGTAGTTTTACATCAAGAATTTTTCTTGAGAAAATAATTGGATACTTACTAAGATGTTTGTTCAAGAATATTCATTGCAACATTGTAATTGTCTAAAACAACAACAACAAAATCCACAAGAAACCAAAATGCCCAGCAAGTCTTGGTTCCCTTGCAACAATTAAGTCATATTGTAGAAGTCTATGACTAAGGAAAATACTGTGATTTAAGGAAATAGAATACAAAATGTAGAATGATGGTATTGTTTGTTATATTGGTGTGTATATCAGATGGTGCAGAAAGGTACAGAACAGAACCTTAGCAGAAATTTCTGGGTGGTAGGATTGTGGGTGATTCTTTTTTTCTTTGTGATTATCTGTACTTACAGGTTTCTTTTTTAATTAATAATTTCCAAACAATATATGTTCCTTAAAAGATACACTGAAAACAGAAAAAGATTAATACATTAATAGAAAATAGCCAAAGGAAGTGGAAAGTTCATCAAAATTAGAATTATTCATCAAAGAAACCAAAACAATAATTTTCAGCATCACACTGACAAAGATTTAAAAAATCTTCCATGGTGCATAGAAGTGCACTTACGTGGTGTTTGTCAGAAATCAAACCGCCTGCCTCGGAAGTGCAAGGGCCCGAGTTCCATCCTCGGTACCAAAAAAAAAAAAAAAGTCATTTGTGCCTAGGTGTGCAGAAGTGGAGGCTTTGTTACTGAGTATGCCTCTTCTAGACTGCTGTAGAAGCCTGCCTGATGGCATGGCAGTGGAAAAGGAGGCCCTAAAATTATGGTGGCAGTCAGGGCTCTTAAAAAGAGGAGGGACTGGTGCAGAAAAAAGTCTGTGTAGTCATATACCAAAATGTTCTGAGTAGTTAGTCTGGGTGATGAAATTTATGTGTGGTTTTAATTTTATTTGTTGTGCTTTATTTTCCAAGATTTGTGTAGTAAACATATTTTAGCTGTGAAGTAATTGCTACAAGATAAAACTGTCCTGTTTGCTTACATTTTAAGTAGACATTCCATCCATTTTGAAGAAAAAAATTCCCAGAAATTGTTTGAATCTTTCCTTCTAATAAGGAGTCATTGTAGCATGTGAGAGGTTAACTCGCAGGTGGCTTTTCTCTTACTAGTCAGGAGCTGGCCGAAAACACAGTAGTAGCCAAAGTGAATGGGGAATTGTGGGACCTGGACCGCCCAATGGAAGGGGATTCCACTCTCGAGCTGCTCATGTTTGACAGTGAGGAGGCTCAAGCTGTAAGTATTTAAAAACCAGCCATCTCAGCTTTGGGTAGTTAGAGTAAACCGTGTTTGGAAAAAACCACATGGCAAAGTCAAGAATGGAGA